AGAGAGAGAGAGAGAGCGTTATTAATCTTGATATTTTTAACGGCGTAGTTTCACCATGACGAAATATCATCACAAAGGACGCCATCTTTGTAGTTGTGATATCGGTATAACGATGAAATATTGCGAACAATATTACGAGAGTGACTTGTGTAATTATATAATTTATCTTCCTATAGCGCTGGACATTTAATGCACTAAAGGTAAAAGAGATATGATAGATATTTTATATATGTTTTATATATATAAATCTTTTAGTTTAAAAATTTTTTAAAAATCAATAGTATTTGTCTTTAATAATAGTAACGGTATAGTAACGTTTTCTGTTTATTTATGTAAAAGAAGACATGCGCAATATTCTTAAATAATTGTATTAAAATTATCATAAACTATTATTTACACACATAGATTTTAGATGTGTGTACCAAATAAAATGTTTGGTAAAGCAAATGACTAATGAATGCCCGGTATAAATGGGAATAAAAACAGATATAATGGCGGTACAAATTTATAAATATTAATAAATAATATTCTCTCAAATGAAGGGATTAAAATGTAAAGCACATTACTTGTTGAAACGTTTTGGCTTAATGTGATTTTAAAATATATCACACGCATCCAAATGTTACATGTATATTTATGACAATATTTTGCACAATACGATCGCAATAATATAAATATTATAATTGCAAGATTTTGTTATTATTGGATACATAGCGATAATATCGCGAGTGTATGCAAATCTCGTAATTTACCGACATATTCCTGTCATTATAAATAATACTTGTTAATTACATTTCAGACAAATCGGAGCGACGCGTATCGAGTAGTTCTGTCGGATGTACAGCCCAATCATACTGGCAAATATCGTTGCGAAGTCTCTGGAGATGCTCCCTCGTTTAATACCTTAATGGTTTCTGGTTACATGCATGTAGCTAGTGAGTATCTGCTGAAACGTATTTTACATCTGAGCAAAGATAACACGACATGCACCGCGAAGACTGAAAAGCGAAGCTCAACGCATAGCTGAGCAAACATATTCCTTCCTATGAATTCCGATATGAGTAAATATGTGTCTAAAAGAGCAAAAACCTATAGTGTTCTCTCTCTCCCCCCCGTCACAGGCGTCGTTTTATGGATAAAACGTACGTTTTATGGATAAAATAAAATATCGCGATATTTCGCGGAATCGTCATTCGCGGAATAATCAACTGTACTTAATTAATCGCGAGATTAATTGCGATAATAAAAGACTGAAATTTTAACCGAATAATATCGCAACGTGTAATGTGCTGGGAAATTTCAAAGAGATACGCGGCCGCTTAACAGTTGGCAAACAAAGTAGCGAGTAAAAAAACTGCTTTAAACTTTGTGCAAAATTTTGTACAAAAATTACGGGTGAAAATCTAATGTAAAATAGATTTTTAATTTTTTTCATTTTTTTATGATTTACATCAGACGGATAAATGTTTTTTGTAACATCAAATTTTTATTTCGATGTACAACAGTAAATTAAGCCCTATAGTATATATTCCTCTCATTCGTGTATATTTTTTAGTATTTCGCTTGCAACATTTTACAACATTTTTACAACAAGCTTTCCATGACTCTATGTTGCATTTGTATATACGAAAGCAATTATTATTTAAAAAAAAAATCTATAAATAATCATATTTTTACGTAAAAATTTCTTGCAACTACATGTATTTATCGCGTCAATGATTATTGACTGCATACTATAAAAGTTGCAGAATGTGTAAAACTATTAAAAAAGAAGTAGACAGAACAGAGAAGAGAATAATTGCTTTATGAATCTCATAAATTTTGAAATTTATAAGCTTCACGTACAAATTTATAAGCTTCACGATACAAATAATGATTGATAAGTTTTAAATCGGTAATTCGCTTCGAAATTATCATACTTAGAGGATTATGGCGTTTAAGAAACGACTCTTCTTACTTCATAAAATTATGGAAGCTATGAAATATAATTAATTCCAGCGGTTCTCAGTAGTAATGCGTCAGAGGGGGAAATTATAAATTAATGTTACAGATAGCTTTTTAGTACCTGCTCGCGCGCTGCGCGAGATGACAAAAAGCTGACGTCATTAGCCTTGATAACAGCACGCAATAAACCTGTTTATAAGACAAAATTCTTCGATTGGCGATGCTTATTGAATTCTTCGTCCTCCATCCTCCATCATGTCTGATATGTCCAAGGTGAAAAAGCGTGAAAGCCGCCGCTAACTTCCAACCATTTGACGCCATTAAAGCGTTAAATGGATATCGTTAATTTATAACTACTATTCCATCAGCTAACGTTGTTAGGCACGTTGTTTCGACCGGCGCGCACGATCGTCTCATGTAATTCCCGTTTGTAACGCGGATAATTGCTGCGACCAATTCGCTATGAGACAGCACTTTTTGTGGCAATACCGTCGCGTATAAGCGACACCTATTCCACACCAGCTGGGGCGCTATATTGTTAAAATTCAATAAAAACATTTCATCGTCCCGTTTGAGGGCGGTTAACGGCCGGCGGGAGGACGAGGATCTGTGATGAATCGCGGATTCGGTCGCGACCCGTTAAGCTCTTTTTTTTTTTTTGGAGGGAACCGCTTTTGCCCACGACTTTTGTTCCTCCTGTATGTTCTTTCTCTTTCCTTTGGCATGTCTCTCGCGAGTGCCTTTCATTATCGTTGATTATCTTACACGGCGGCTAGTACTGTCACCGTAATCGCGCCCAATTAAAACGCAGTTAGATGAGAAGAGAGAGAAAGAGACGATAGATGGAAGGAAGAAACTGACGGCGAGAGCGGAAGAAAGAGGCAACGGTGGCGGCTGCAAAAAGAAAAGAGAAGCGAAGATCGGAGAGGAGCGTCGCGGGTCTCGTTCCCACCGTTCCTTACCACCGTCGTCGTGCGTCGACCTAACGATGCCACAAGCACGGTGGCGATACCCCTTTGAAGGGACGAGGTGATTACCTCTTCTTTCCGATCACGGATCGCTCGTAAAAGCTCGATACTAAATCGGGGGCTTCGAAACTCGCTCTGCCCTCCACCTCCGTGCGCACCTTGCCTGACTCTCGATCGGGCGTGTACCATCTCTCTTTCTCTCTCGTTTCCTCTTTCCCGGTTCTCACGAGGCCCGTCGCGTACGATCATCCCGTTCTACACGACACACACGAGTTGAAAATGGTAATATCTCTCGGCCGTGTCCTTGAGAGAGCGCTCGCGAAGGAAGGAGCGGCCCCCGAGGCGGAAGTCGTTGCGTAGAAGGTGAGACAATTCCTTGACAGTTTACCGGATTACCACCGCGGCTATATCCACCGTGAAAAGGGATTCACTACCTTCTGTGGAACGTTATAATGATCCTCAGGGATGTACATGATATGTATGTATTACGTGTCGCGAACAAGGCACGAACTTTTCGCCTTAATAACGACGATGTTCGCGGAAACATTCGCACGCTGACTTATCGACGCAAGCGAGGCCTCCCCCCCCCCTCCTCGAAAAAGCCAATTTCGAAATAAAACTATGTAAAACGCGCGAACGCGCGTTTTATATTTATGAAGGCGCAACGCCTCGGGCTTTGTACGGAAACGCTACTTCTAATTTACGGCGGACGCGCATCGCTCTTTCAATTCAATTTCCCCGAGATCCGAGGGACGCGCCACACACAGCGCGATATCCGCGCCTATAGAGGAAATCCTCTTCTCCAATTGTTCAGGAATAAAAGTTACATTTTTGTTGCGTCGCCTACATCCTCCCCGTGTGTCTCCCTATACAGCGACTAATCGATATAACTACGAAACAATTAACAAAACGCAATGTATTACGAGAGAAAGCGATTAGAAAATACTTTCTCGATTTCGGAAAAAAAAATTATTATATTTCATATTATTTTCTATTATTTTATTATATGTACCTTTATCTGCGTGGTATATCGATACTGTCTCCCATATATAAAGCTGCACATAATAATATCTTATCAGAAATAAAAACTTTACTCTTCCATGTATCGAATTATTACACCGTAATGTCTCACAAAAGTCACTTCGTCACGCTGCTCGAGTCGATTATCGAGGTCATTAAATAGCGCAAGAAGTGTCATTCGCGATTTTTTGCGTGGCGTGTTCTTTGACACCGCGGACAATGACTCTCGGCCGAGCTATTATGACGCTTTCACGGTATCAAGGCTGTTTTTGTAATTGGTAGCAGGAAAAGGAACCAGACGTAACAATAGTCCGATAGAACGTGCCCGTTACAAAAACCGTATCTCGGCACCGCGCAATCGCGCGTTGTTCGGTGTTGTTGCTATAAGGTTTTCTGAATTTCAGGTCTGCCGAACGGTGATCCGGTGCTGCGGGTCGAGAAGACGCGATACGCAGTCGGTGATACTGTACGTGGAAACTGCACAGTACCGTCGGGAAATCCTCCGGCTAACGTGACGTGGACCGTCAACGGCGTACCGGTAGGTTTGATGAATGTGAAAAGCGTGGATGGATCCTCCTCGATCGTTCTCGCTGACTCATGAATGAACTACATAAATATTAATTCGACCCGTGTCTTGTGTCCCGGATGTGTTGTCGCCAAATTTTTCCGAAGCGACAGTTGAATTTCTATCCTCCGCACGTCCCGATTTCCCGACAACGTTACAGTCCCAAACGAACAGTTTGGAGATTTATTATCTCTAACTGTTTTTTAATTTAGAAAAACACGCATTTCTCTTGGCGTTTTTGAAAATTATAGCGAAATTATATTCGCAATAATTGAATTTTTATTTTACAAATATTATGACTGTTGTGGTAATCATTTTTATTTTTGTGAGAGAATAAATGTTAGGTAAATGTTATATTTAATTACATTACGCGTTATACATGAATACAAATATACAAAAAAGTAGCGAATTTTTTATACATATTGAATATATATGCAAGAAAGCTAAATGTAAATACAAGTATTCAAGTATTCAAATAATAAAATTCATAAGATACAAGTATTCAAGAATGAAGCTTATATAATTCAAAAAAAAGAGAACTGAAAATATCTGGATTCTTTTATGATTTTACACTTTTATGAGTTACACTGTCCATTTCAAATAGCATGTTACTGTGTCTATTGTTTCTTTCTATGCTTGTTATTGCATTAATGACAATGCCGTCAGTTTGAAAAGTTCGTGATTTCAACATGCTTATTCTGTTAACTCCAGCTTTACAAACTCATGTTTTAACATGATACATCTGTAATAGCTATCACGTATTTTTAAACTTTTCTATACAATGTATAAAAATACTGTGCAACGAAGTTCTTGTATTGTTCGAGGTTCTATAATAGCTTTTTAAAAGATTCTACTTTCTCATTTAATGAGGCTCACTTATTAACTTAACAATAATGAAGAAAATAAATCCTTTTTCAAAGTTACATGAATATAATTGTTATGTCACATAAATTATATAATTGTTATGTCACATAAATTATATAACTAGTTAAAGTATTTTACATTGCTTTCAAAATAAATTTTTATAAATTCTATAATTCTGACAGAACAAATTTGCATTTATATAATATATGCTTTATGAAATAGCGCATATCATTTTTTTTTGCATATTTTATTAAAAAAAAAGATCGAGATTTAATTACTTCTAGGTTTTGTTAAATTTATTAATTATAATTATAATCATTAATGAAACATCTGCAAATATATATAACTTTTGCATTTATTTTATATAATATTAATAAATTATTTATATTTTAGTGAAGAAAAATTAAATGTTTTTTATTTATATGTGTTAGTAGTAAGTTAATATCTAATTTGCAATAATCATTTAAATATTCGATTTTCGAAGATTCTGTTTCAGATTCTGTTTCAATAGATGATTTTAGCAAAATAATTACTTCTTTGAGTCATATCTACCTACTATCAGCATCTATCATTCGTAAAAAAAAAGACATAGTCAAATAACATCTTTTTCAAGACGAAACGTATAAATTATAACGCCATTATGATGTAACTACATATTATTAAGCTACCAACGACTCAGGAATTAAACACTTTCCCCGATTTTTATTTGCTTCGCGTACATGTGAGAATTTATTTACTTCGCTCTCGGAAAGCAACGAGAGGATCCAACGAGAGGATCTTTCCATTAAAGGAAATTGCTTATACGTGATCGACCGCATTAAGTGTAAAATGTAACAGAGGATCTTCGCGACAAGCGCAGCTTGTCAGCTTAGGGGCCTCGAAGGAGTAGCGCGTGTTCTCGTGCGTGCACATGTAACCTGAGAGGCGCACGAGATGCGTGGAAATGTCACGGAAACAACAGGAAACGCGATCATCAATTCAGGACGGCGCCACGTAGACGGTGTCGCGAACTGAGAAAATCGGTAAAATCACATACGTCGTCTGCGAACGCACGAGACATTCCCGTTATGCTCGCGGTACAGGAACATGATCCAGGAAATAATAAAAGATCTCTCTCTCTCTCTCCCCCTCTCTCCCTCTCCCTCTTCCTCTCTTTCTCTCTCATTCTTTTGAATTTTCTTCTGGTGTGTCGGCGCACTCCGAACAGCCTTTATTTAATCCGGAACTCTCACTTCGGTACAGCCGATAATCTATGACACTTTACGAGCATCCTAAGAATCCGATAAACATCATAGTTACAGCCGTATGCGCCGCAAATCATTTATGGCTACCGAGGGAGGCGTGTTTACCGCGTAAACGAGTGGCAGGAAGCAGTAAGGATGAACTGATACCCCAGTGGTCGTCCCACCCTGTTCTTCCGCAAGTTCTACTCACCGTCGATATATCGAGGCAGCTTGTCTAATTACCTATCTCTGTATCTTCCCGGTTAATTAATTCTTTATGGGATCACTCGTTTTAATGAGCTATCGGCAAGGCTGCCAGCGTTTCGAAAATTGAAATAGCGTTATTCGTTATTAGACGATTATGCTCAGCGTGGCATGGCAAGAAAACTGGAAGACTTCCTCGAGTACATGAAAAAGTCCCTTTAAAATAATTGTTAATTTACTTGCAATAACTGCGCAGCTTAATTGCACAGTGGCTACGTCGTAAAGTGAACCAGGCCTCTACGTATATCGCATAAAGATCGCTAATTGATTTTAGAGACTCGTAAATCACGGTGCCTCTTAACGCTTTTGCAACGTTCGAAGAAGGCGGCAAATCGTTCATATCACCGTCACGTTTCATTCATAATTGAGTAAACGAGATTGGCAGCTTTACGACTTTTATGTTCAAAATATTTTTATACTTCATTTAGTATACATAACTCTGTCTAAACTTTATATGAAGAAGGGGAAAAATTATTCTGTGCGCAAAATTTTGAAACAAATTAAAAAAAAAGTAATCAAAGAATTAAGAAGCAAGATTTTAAATGTCGATTATACAGTACATCTTTTCGTTGCAGGTGAAGTCGAGTAACGTCACAAATGTCACGGATACAGTTAGTGACAATCAACAGTACATGACGGTCGCTAAATTGGACTTCGAGACGATGCAGGATAACTTCAGCAATGGCAGATTAAAGATCGTTTGTATCGCCAATGTCTTTCATTTATATAAGAAAACAGCTGAAATGCTTCTGAAGGAAGAACGTCCAAGATTGGCCTCTGTATTAGGAACACGAGAATCCTCTTACATGGGTACGAGAGAGACTTAGATATATATATATTTTTATTGTCATATAAAAATTAATAATAAATTAGAAGAGAAATTTTATGGGAAAAGTTTAAAATTCTTTTTTATCAAAATAACTTGTTTAAAAATTAAATACAAATTATCCATCGTGAATGATAAACTTTTCTCTCTTAAATCTGATCTTTTATGCAAGACATATTTCGATATTTTCAATTTATTCATTTATTATGTTCTTCATTGCAGGTAACGCAGCTAAGAATACCGCAGAATACTTCTACATCACAGCCATGACTGCACTGTTGCTATGCAGCCTGAGATAACATCAATGAATTCGCAATACGTTTTACGCGCATGATTGTATCGGGATGGATGGAATAAATCGTTTGTAAAATTTTGAAATTATTAAATGGGATAAAATCTGGGAAGAGGAATCTTTTTGTTGAAATAAGTACCGAGCGTATGTTATTCGTGTAAATAGGATAAAGGAAAAGATTTAGCGAATTATCTACGTGTACGCGATCTACATCCGCTCCGCGGGTAGATTTGTAATCTGATAAATAACATGTCGTATTATTATGTAATAGATCGACGAAATGTCGCGCCAAACTAACGACGACTTATTTAAATATTATATCGTCTTTTCTATCCTCTGATAATGATTTTGATACCTCCTCTGTAACATTGTGATCATCACAATGCATCCTATCAAGGTTATGGGAAAATGTTGTTATCATTTATAAATGACATTTCATTTCAATGAGATATGAATAAACCATTCACCATCGTTAATTTCATTATTTTAATCTTTAGTACTGATTCAAACCTTCTTTACTGTCCGTTTTATTCTCAATACAGGTATTTAGCAATTAATTAAATAGTTTAATAACTTTACTATTTCAAGATCTTATGTAAAAGAAATTGTTAGTTATAAGAAGAACGCTTAGTGAGAAATACATTTTAATTTACTAATAAGTATATGTAAGTATATAAATATGTATTTCTGTACAAAAAATCTATTGTATATTAATTTATCAAATAGACGAAGTTGAATAAATGAAATACGACAGGGTGATATCACAAAACGCATACATCTTATATTCATTATACTTAATAAGATCTTCTTATTATTATTATATGAAATTGCATTCATATGTAATATCTCAAAGCCAGTAAATTTAACAAAGATTTCCAAATAGATGCAAACGAGAATGAATAATATGATAAAAGATATATAAAATCAAATTGTTAACTTGAAATTTATCGCTTTCCACGTCCATCCCAGGCTGAAGATTGAAGTCTTGCTTCTATTATATCCATCGCTGCTTCTCTCAACTTGGTCCTCTCAATTCCAACCTGCTGGATCTTTTCCATTTGCTCGGTAACATATTCCACTTTCCTTTTAAAATAGTCCTTTGCATCTTCGATACTTTTTTCTGCGTAATAACCAGTACCAATATCAACAATCACATTATTCGCATCTGCTAGTTTCCCAGACACATACATAGAACCAGTCAAAGGTACTAATATTTCGTTGCCTATAACATAAAGCATATAATAAATAATTCAGTATCATCACTTTAGCATTCAAGAATAATATATTGCTATTTCTTTAATACAAATTTCTAAAATTTATAAGATTTATAAATTTAAAAACAAATTTATATTCACAAAAAATAGCTGAAAGATAAACAAGATATTCATAGAAAACGAATTATAATAGGCCTATTCTTTTTAGCTAAACTTCTAGCATAGTTCATATTCTCTTTTTTTTTTTCAATATGGAAAAAGAAGAAAGATAAATCATGCAAAAGAATAAATCTTCAACTAAAAAGAACAAATCTATTAACAGAGAATTATCTCTAATCGTGTCACTCTGCTTTTAAAATAAATTTATGCTAAATTTATTCTTTGTAGCTAAGCTTTTAAACTTCATCTTTACGTTTTTTACTTAATTTGAAATTTTAATTAATTTTATTTTATTCTAAGTCTGGGGAGCATAACGAAGAGCAGCTACAACAAACGAACCCATTTACTTATACTACCTAGCAGCACCGTACAGTTTTCAGTAGGATCATATTTCCTAACCTCAACAAGAAATTATACTACGAGCGTACAAAGCTACGTACGCTTTGAAAAATGAAATTAGCGTCATCACTCACCTTCGGTATTCGGCGTGATCTTCTCGAGGCAAGAGCCCGATTCCTGAAATCTGCTCTGGGCGATTTTCAACGTGTGCAAGGAGTCCTGAAACACTCCGAGCTCCTGATCCAGTTGCTGCTTGAACATAGTCAGCTGTTGAAGGTTCAAATTCGGCAGGGTCGCCAGGCTGATCACCTGCGATTGCGGCGACGATTTTACGGAGGCTTCCTGCGACATCCCGACACAATCCCTGCTCTCGGGGAGATAAATCGTTAACAAGATCCCGCGTTACCTCAGGGACCCGATTTGGGGCCGAGTTTCACCGATATCGACAAAGATGGGCAACACCACGCGCGTTACTCGTTACTCGTCACCGCTGGCAGGCCGCTCGATCAGCTTGTCGAAACAAACGCCAAGCGGCACCACGATACAAGCGAGACGAGCCCGCCATCTCGCGCTGCTGACAACATCATCGGAGAGAAGCCTGAGCGATCATGGCCGCGTTTAACTGTAACGTTATTCATGCGTAGGTCATGAGCACGATTTTGTGGTTCTCTTCCGTGCTAGACGAAAGAGTGGATAAAGACGGAAATATTTGCGCTTGACAACATTTACGCTTTGATTACGCTGCTCCGAAGAACAAGCATTTATTTATGATACTAATTAATGCTGCAATTGTACTAATTTGTCTGGAAAAACGAAATATATCATATAAAATAAAGTAATATCTGTGACAAATATCTGTGATTATGAACGAAAAATATATTTTGAATAGTTAATAATTTCTACTACACAGCAGATTACTAATAGCATTAATATTATTATTAATATTTAAATTAATAGGTCAAAGGTTGTTTCACATTTCAGAATCAAGATTTTTTTGCATTCTTCATATAAAAGAAAATTAATTTGCTATTTTTTTTCTTATTTTTTTATGTCTTTTATATCAGATAGTAATATTGAGAAATTAATTGTTAATAATCTTGCCAATATTAATAATTTCTCAATATTATTCTCTGATATAAAAGACATAAATAAAGAAATAATAAATTAATTTTCATCAGGTATCTTTCATAAAGAAACGCAAGAAACTTTAATTCTCCAGTATGAAAACAATTAGATATACTAATTCTAATACTAATCATAATAATAACTTATATATTAGTCCATGCAATAATCCATGCAATAAAAATTATTAAGTGTAAAAATCAATAACAGATGACAGATCGATGAGCGTGTCTGTAATTATGGGCCTGAGCGCAGATTTTTATATGATTATTGATTATCTTTGGTTGATAATTCGAAAACTATTACATTAAAGTTACATTACAGTTACAGTAGCATCAACAGTTTCGTATAAGAATCCTTTAAAATATTTTTGTTATATTATAATTTGAATTTCAAACTTACCAATTAAGACCCTTTTAAAAGTTCTTGTTCTTCAACAAGTTTGTAACATAATTTGTTTTAGATTAAGAATTAATAGTTTATTTTATTCTTAATATTTCTCTATTCAATAACGTAATAGTAATGTGTATAGAGGCAGAAGTTACTTTAATTAATTAATAATATTTATAAGTTATATTCTAAATAAATAATAAGGAGCATAAAAGCGAAAACGGTATGTTCATGCAAATAATGTTTATCGTTAGTAGAGAAAAGTACGATACATAAATAATTGATAAACAGAAAAACATACGTCATTTTGACCTTATATTAGGTCATCTTCAGTGTGATAATTAAAAATTAATAAAAACAAGACTTAAATTATATAACGATGATCTTAACAACAACGTGCAAGAAAGATGTAATCAGTTTGATAAAAATGTATAAATAGAATTCGATTGAATTTTATAAACAATTTAAATTGTTGAAACATAAAGAAAGCCAGAGCAAATATCGCAAACAGACAAATTTCGCAACGCAGATATAATACATTTGGTGAAATTAGTATAAATAAAATTCGGTTAAATTGTGAAAAAGATTCGATCAAATTGTAAAAATAGAGTCATGCCTGAAAAAGCAATACGTTACATAATTATCACATCCAAATTTTCATATGGTATGGATTTCATTCCCGATATTAATTTGTTCGTACATTATGTATAGACGCATTGCTTCATATATATTGGGATATACACACACACACACACACACACATATATATATATATATATATATATATATGTATATCCCAATCAAATTCATGCTCATCTTGCAAGATTGTACTTTTTTTTATAATTTTTCTATTAACCTTGTCTGATTGAGTTTTAAATGATTGCTGAAGAAGGCTCTGTAAAGCCGAAACGTTCAACTTCAAATTCAGTTTATTTTTATTGTTGACTTTGTTGTCCCGGATAAATAATAAAAATTTTCTGACGATAATAAATATTTTATATAACGTTTAACGTCTCGCGTTTATATAACATTTAATATCTCGCTCGTTTGTCGGTCTTTTTTACCCTTTTTATTGATTATTAGAGATTATTAAAGAGAGATTATTAAATGATTATTAGAAATTTATTTTTTAATTTTAGATATTCGAAATAATTTTAGAAATTTAAGGCTATGTTCGGAAATATCACCCGAATGCTCTCGTGTATTTTATCCTTGTTTAATATTCAGTGAACATAAAGGATGAAATGATATACGGATTATTCTAGCAGTATTTCGAACTGTGTTCCGTAGCCTTAGTTTGGTGAAGCAATGTTAGATGGTAGCAGCTGCAAAAACGGCTGCTTTCGGCTGCTGCACAGCTGATATACGCAGTAGTATATGTGCTGCGTGTTGTTTGATATTGTTGCCAAACCGAAATTGTAGGCGGAAAAAGCAGATTAGATAGTGCTTTGTCAGCCAAAGAGATACTTTTTAATTGCATTCCGATTAATCATTCCTTTTGTCATTGTTGTTATAACAATTATTCTCTCGCAGGTTAGAGATGCCTAATTTAACCAATTTATCCCACTTTCCTTTAAAGGTATGTAAATGAAATGTCAACTTTGTTTTCTCGCGTTCCAGTGTGTGTTTTTATTGGCGCGCGACGTAATTTTGTTTTTTGTCTGTTTTTTAATATATTTTCTTTAAATAAATAAATAAATAAATTGACATTTTTCTGTGCACCTGTAAATGTACAATTTATTTCCGTTTTTTTTTTTTATTAACCTTTTTGTTAATCATTTATGATAAAATGATAACACAATAAAAAAACAATTTTTTTATAATTGAATATCTTTCAGATTATATTTGCGATTCATTTGATACTTGTAACATTGTAAGTATTTGCATTCTACTGAAGTGGAATGATTTTATATTTTTATATTTATAAGAATTTGCATATTTGTAATCTATGTAATCAAATATAATCAAAATATATTACAGGGGGATGCAGGGAAGTTGGTGCCCAAAATCCGTATTATTTTATAACTTGTTGTTCTTCGTTTGTATATTTTGGGCTGTTCATAATGTTGAATCCGACGAATCATTACAATTTGTAAGTTATTAAGAAAGTGGAATGAAAGAATTTATTTGTACTTTTATTTGAAATTTCAATTATATACTTTTTATAGGCACTTTTTATAAATGTACTATCTATATTTCTGGATATAGTCACTTTGATAGTTTACTATCCAGTATATGACAGTAAGTATATATCAAATATATTGTACGCATTTATGTGTATGCGCATGCGCGCATACATTTATGTCTTCTAATATTAATTATAAAAAAAGATAATTACAAATTATAGTAATATTACAAATTATTGATCAATTATTGATCAATTTTATGCAGAAGATATATTTATTTAATTATATTCATATATGTTGTATAACATATACATTAGAATATATATTTAGATATGATATATTAATTTGTAGATACACCTAACAAGTTTAGTGGAGCCTTTATGATTATGAACTTGATTGCTCGTCCCATTTCAAGTATATATTTGCTGCGAATAGGCCAGGAGAGAGGTGGCAGCTTAGCTACAGTATTCACGCCAAGTCCTGCCACGGGTTAGTAATCATCGGGTTCACACAGTGCATCAGTGCTTCAATGAGATTTGAGTTTGAGTATGTGCACGTATGCTTTCCTGCAAACTACAGTTTCGCTGCACATCATTAATAATCATTTTTAGTTATCTAGGTTATTATATATGTGTATTATAGTGATTTGGAATTGCTTTTCGCTTGAATTTATGTTGCATCAAAATATAGTATACCACAATAATCATTTTTGCTTTTCAACAATAATTATGCAAATAAAATCTCCATGTTATTTTGTTTAAATTATTTACAGGTTACGATCGACAAGATTATGAAGAGATTTCTCATCCCGTCCCACGAAATTCCGATTTTGATGGAGTTTAAGCTTGAGTAAAACTTTTTCGAAAAAACGGCTTTAAATTCATATGCAATATATACATATGCAATATATATTTGTAATATATTTTCTATTATAATTTCTTAAAATTATTTATTAATGTTATGTTAGCATTAATAAATAATTATTAATAAATAATTATATAAGTTGCTTGATATAAAATCATGTATCATATCTCAAGAAATCAAAGATTATATATTTCTATTTATTAACGTTAATTTCTATTCTTTTTGTTGTGCGATATATTTTATATATGTGTAGCTAAACCTAAATATTTCTCTACTCAATAACGTAATAGTAATGTGTAGAGGCAAAAGTTACTTTAATTAATTAATAATATTTATAAGTTATATTCTATTATTTAGCGAATTACTTGAACACAACGACTTGAATCTCATGTATCATAAATTTCTATGTAATTCGTATCTACCTAATATTTTTACACGCTCAGAATCTATTCTGTATAACTGTTTTTACTACTGACTTGTAAATAAAAGATTTTAACGCAAATTTTCAATAGAAAATTGCCTAAAAAAAAATGGTTACAATCCAATAAGCATTTTATTTATGATAATCATTGATCAATAATGATTATATCTTCGTTTTAAATCTATTTAAAATCTGTTATTTATGAACGTGAAGAATATGTCCCGTAATCCTTTTGTGTATTTTATATCAATCGAGCCAATCGACGCAAAATACACTTATTCTTACAGAAAAATAAGTAGCAAAATTGAAGTCAAGTTCAAGATACTTGTGATCGCTGCGATTCAAAGATGGCGCGCGCGAGCGCATGATGCTCGATCACGGGCGCGTGGTGGCGCCAGCGGCGCAGGTATAAGAACCGCGTCCATGAAGCGGCATACTTCAGTAGTGTGGGTGATCGTAGTGGGAGTAGGGTGGCTCCGCGCGCGGTCGCACCGCGAAACCCTGCTCCTCGGCCACGGAACGTCCACTCGTTTTCACATCTCGTGCGAAAACATGGCGGCCAGCGACGATGAGCCGATGCATCTCTACGAGGTCTTTCAGAACTGCTTCAACAAGATCGCCAACAAGCAGCCTGGTGAGTGTGCGTCGTCGGCAGTGCCATGTCTCTCTCTCGCGCACAGGATTGCGCTGTGGCCCCTGTGTGTGGAAAATAAAGCGACGGACGTCTCCTTCTCTCTGTCTCTGCCTCCTTCTCTGGTGTGTGTCTGGTGTGTCTTGTCCGGTGCGGCGTGCGCGTATTTAAATCACCGTCGACGTTTCAGCCGGTCGATCGAGCCTGCGATCGCGTCGAAAATCGGCGCGTCGGACGGTCGTGTCGTCGACGGCCGCCGCCAGGGCCTATCTCGCTCTGTGTTTTGGTTCGTTTGTCAGTGCCCTGGACAGTGCTGCCCCATCGACGGGAACTAGCGACGGGAGCAACGGCTCTCTGCCTCGTGTTCCCCGCGTCCTGGTCGCTCTGTCCCGACGCCGCGATTTTTCTTCCGTCGCCACACGGATTTTCCACCCTTGCCTGCCTGCGTCGTGGCGTCGCGCCGGGAAACGAGTAACATAACCTAGACACCAGTTTAGAGAGACGTCCGTCGTCGCTCCGCTGTCATGTGCAACAGTAGAAGCGATATGTGCGCGTGCCTGCGTATGTATGGTGTGTGTGTGTGTGTGTGTGTGTGTGTGTGTGTGTGTGTGTGTGTGTGTGTGTGTGTGTGTGTGTGTGTGTGTGTGTGTGTGT